TGCATTAGTTAGTACTTTAAACTTGGAGGCTCCATGGCAGAATGGCGATGATAAAAATGTTTGTACTGAAAGAAGTAATGTGTACCATTCTGTTCAAATACTCCAGACATAAGAGCCAATAATAGACGCAATAGGAAGCTTGGTCTTATCTCTGACCTTCTGGGCAGAGATACCACTCAATAACTGATTATTTAATGCAGAGAACTCTTTGGTCGCCAACCGCTTGATTTTGATCATTCCGAAATTAATTTCTATGAATCAGGGTGGTTTTGTCATTGGTAGGATGATATCTGAAAATGTGGCTCTTGCTCAAAAGTTAGTTCATCATCTAAATAAGCGTTCCCGTGGTGCCAATGTGATTATGAAAGTGGACATGGGTAAGGCTTTCGATTGGGTCTCTTGGAACTATTTGTTAGAAGTGTTGAGAGCGTTTGGATTTGCAGATCCCTGGATTTGTCTTGTTAAGAATGCTATCACTTCACCACGATTTTCTGTTAAAATTAATGGTATCCTCACTGGTTTCTTCACTCCATCTCGTGGACTCAGGTAAGGTGACCCATTATCACCTTTTTTATTCATACTCCTTGAAGAGCCACTTAGTAGGGGCCTTACAAAACTGCTGGCGGGTGGTAGCACTGCTCCTTATCAAGTTCCATCTACATGTACTCCCATATCACACCTCCTCTATGCAGATGACTTCTTGGTGTTTAATAACGACACTCGTCGTAGCCTTAATAACTTGATGGAATTTCTTCGACGTTATGAAGTTGTTTCTGGGCAGCTTATTAATGTGGGTAAGAGTTCTTTCATTGTCCATAAATGTGTTGCCGCTTCTAGAAAACGCATCATTGCATCTATTACTGGCTTCAAAGAAACTTCACTTCCCTTCACTTATCTTGGATCTCCTCTTCATAACAGAAAACCAGTCTCTTCCATGTTCACTCTCGTGCTTGATAAAATCAGGAAGAAATTAGCGGGATGGAAAGGTAAGCTCCTATCAATAGGTGGAAAACTTACTCTTATCATGTCTGTACTAAGTTCCGTACCCATCTACTTATTTTCTGTGGTNCTTACTCTTATCAAGTCTGTACTAAGTTCAATACCCATCTACTTATTTTCTGTGGTCACACCCCCCATTAAAATTGTTAAAGAAATTCATGCCCTTTTTGCCAACTTTTTTTGGGGGGAAACAGAAGAAGGATCTAAAAGTCATTGGATTTCTTGGAAAAACATTTGTTTTCCACAAGAGGAAGGAGGTCTGGGTATTCGTAGTCTTTTTGATGTGATCCAGTCGCTCCAGTGAAAAATGGCATGGCGTACCATTACATCACACTCACTGGGCTAATTTTATGCGCCAAAAGTATCTCAGTCATCACCTTGACCTAGCCCACATTTATGTAACTATTAAATACTCATCACTTTGGAGGCATATCTCTCATCATTTTCCATTCATTTCAGAGCGCAGCAGACGGCTGATCCGAGAGGGCAGTGCTCTATTTTGGTATGATAATTGGAGAGGTTCGAGTACTTTGGCCTCACTCGGTTGGACCATAAACACCCCTAATTTAAGACTTCATGACGTTGTTTTAAATGGCAAATGGAACCTGGATAAACTTTTTTATTTGGGTGGCTTTTCTTTAGTAGAGGATATAACTCGTTCCCAAGTTACGCTTCGCGGTAGTATAGATGAATTAATATGGCGCCATTGCAGCAATGGCATATTTTCCACTAGCTCAGCTTGGTCCTTTCTCAGAAATACTAGATCTTCCTCTACGCCTTATAAGATCATTTGGAACCCTACCATGCCATTAAAAATCTCAATTTTTTGTTGGCGCCTTTGGCTTAATGTGGTCCCGGTAGATGAAGTGGTTTGGCGCTGTGGAGTTCCTATCATCTCCAAGTGTCAGTGCTGTTCAAATGGTCATGCTGAAACAATAGATCATGTATTTGCATCCAGCTCTACTGTTTCTTGAGCATGGCAATATTTTGGAAAATATTTTGGAATTCGAATCCCTGCTAATATATCTTGGCGGTCTATCATGCTTTTTTGGAATGCTCATTTTGGAGGGCACACGCAAGATCATCTTGTGGCTAATCTTATTCCACCATTACTCTCTTGGGAGCTTTGGTTAGCCAGAAATTCTGCAAGATTTAAAGATGACCCATTAACTTACACAAAATCTATGCTAAGGTAAAAGGTTGACTTCATGAATTGAATGGTTTTCTTAAACCAAAAAAAATGTCTCCTTCTTCCTATTTTACCCAGGTTCTTCACATCCCTTTGGTACTAATTCGGGTTAAAACCCCATTTCTTGTCAAATGGTCCCCTCCTAAACAAGGTTGTTATAAACTTAATATTGATGGGACAAGTGCTGGAAATCCAGGCCCGTCTGGTTGTGGTGGATTGCTTTGGGATTGGCAAGGAAAGGTAATTTTTGGATTCTATCACTATCTTGGGATTGGTACTAACACTTTAGCAGAGGTATCAGCTCTTAAGATAGGCCTCCAAATATGCTATGCTCTTGGCATTGACAGAATCTCTATAGAAACAGATTCTTATGTGGTGGTCCACTGGTTTCATAATCATGTTAACATGCCTTGGTCTGTTCATCTTATTTGGGAAGACATTTTGGAGTTTGGTCATGTTATATCTATTGACATATCACATATTTTTCGAAGAAGCAACGACAGACTCTTTAGCACGTCTTGGAGCTCAATGTCATTCTGATTTTTTAGAATCAATCTATAAGTTCCCAATTCATACAATTGGTTGCGTCCGTTTAGATAAATGTAATTTGCCTTCTTTTCGCTTCTCATAATTGGAATTATTGTAAGGGAAGTAGTATTTCCTCTTTTACGGATTTGCATTAATCCCTTATTTATTGTTTTAATTGTAAGGAAAGTAGTATTTCCTTATTTACTGCTTTCATTGTTTTCACAAGTAACCACGATTTTTCTCCGCCACAAGTGAGGGTATATTAATAAAATCCTGGAGGTGCTGCCCTCCTTTAACTAAAAAAAAAAAAAAGAAGTACAAACTTGATGAGTTCTATGAGAATTTTACTTTGACGAATTCTCAGCACACTTGTTGAACCTTAAAACATTCAATGCCGAAATAATAAACACAATAAAGAACCTAAGTTTGATATGAAAGATAATGTGTTTTATTTGTTGTCTAGGCTTGCAACAACAGCCGACAATTCAAAATGGTACATTATTGATTAGCCCAGTCCGATAAATTTTTTACTAAGGAAGGTTCAAAGGGAAAGTTACTTATCCTGATGCATAATCTTTCAGATGGTACTGTCTTTGTCTTCCTTGTTCTAGGTTGATTTCTTCCATTCATGAGAAAGATTATTAGAATTTACTGGTACACATCGATTAAATGTGTGTATTGAAATAATTGTACAATATGTGCGATGATTGTGTGCGATTCTTCAAGTGGAATATATTAATAATTAAAAAGTCATGACTTTTTGATAGGGTTTGATCTTAACCATTAGATCATATCCTAATCTGAAATTGTGGAATTTAATGGTCAAAATGAATTTGTGCCAACACATGAGATCATTAAGAGAAGACACATTGAATTTTATAAATTTGGCCCCGTTAATTCTATTTTCTTCACTCCATATCAATGAAATTGTACATTGGAAGAGACTTTATTAGATCAAGTTAGCACCGATGAAATTTGTGTTACTTGTAATTGTGTATCTCGCTTCATTTCATTTCCTTCTAATTTTTGCACTTTCTACGTGTCAGTATATCACATCTTTATGGTACTTACATGCCTGTGTTATCTTGTTAATGAATTATAATTAATGCACCAATTTCTCCAATATTATAGAATTGAATTACATAATAATTAATAAGTAGTGAATCGAGCAATTAATAATTTTCTTAAAATATTCATGCATACATATATATATGCTCGTGGTATTGATGGCTTTAATGCACACAAAATAAACAAGAAAATGCCCCAAATTTTTTTACGTTAACAATTACCATAAATGAAATTACTTGAAGGAAAAACATATGTCCCGAACTGGCAAATATGATACATTATATGCACAATGACGTTATGGAAGCATGAATTTTAATTACTAATTATTTCAGCCAAAAAAATCTGTAAAAGATTAAGTGAGAGAGAGAGAGAGAGAGAGAGAGAGCGAGACTCATAACAAATGCACATATTAAGAAGACATTAATATAACCAAAAAAAAACCATAATTATTTCAATTAACTTCTTATTTAGTTTATCCCAAAGAAATACATATGAGTAATACGCAATCGAAACATGACCAATCCTTTCTCTAAATCTTTTTATAATCATGCAAAATTCATAATTATTGCCTTTGGATTTTATAGGGCTAATTTTGTTTTTTTCACTAAGAGTAAAGAAAATAGCTTCAATATGGACCCATATGGTATTGAAACTTAAGAAACCATAAGTATTAAATTTTTTATTTTTTAGCAATTCAGCGTCATGGATAATATTGAATATTTAAGAAATTGATTAACCATTTTTCTAACAAAAATAAATATATTTGTTAAATATTTCACTTAACCCTTATTCAAAATGTAAAATTATCTGTATTTAAAAATTAAACTCACATGTTTACATATAAAAGATTTTAAATGATAATTAAATTGACACGTGCATAATTTATAATCTTACGGATGATTGTAATTTAATGATTAGACAGAAGAATATTTCATATTAAATAAGAAGAGTTATATAAATAAGGTAAAATTCTAAACGTTTTAATTGAAATGCAAAGGGGAAAGAAGAAGAAAAAAATGGCAAATTGGAAAGAAGTGCCTGAAGATTTGCTTATAGAAATTCTTCTCAGGTTGTCTGTGAAATCTTTGATTCGATTCAGATGTGTTTCTAAAACTTGGAGAGATCTCATAAAGAGCACCAAGTTCTCTGCCATGCATTTTGAATGTGACAAAGATGAAATAGTCCTCATCTACAGATATGTGCAAAAAGAGAACCAACATGTGATCTCTTTGCATTCAAATGATGATTCACTTAGTCAAGTATCAACAGATGTGAGAATTCCATATTTTGATGCTCGGACATATCTGCAAATTTTGGGTCCTTGCAATGGTTTGATTTGCATTACTAACTATGAAACCATTGTACTGTGTAATCCCGTGTTACAAGAATTTTATTTACTCCCCGATCGTCCTTTTCCGTGCCCACATGGTTTTAGACCAATGGAATTAGGGTTAGGGTTTGGCTTCGATCCATGTACTAATGACTACAAAGTTTTTAGAATGTCGGAAATTGTAAATGAGGATGATGATGAGTACTGGAGTATCGACTGCCTCAAATATGAGATATACAATTTAAGTACCAATTCCTGGAGAGAAATTGATGCTGCCGCGCCAAGAGTTTCGACTTTCCCTTGTTTTGAATTGTTCTTTAATGGAGCATGTCACATGCTATCANTGCCGCGCCAAGAGTTTCGACTTTCCCTTGTTTTTAATTGTTCTTTAATTGAGCATGTCACATGCTATCAGGAAGGGCATATTTTGGTCCAATTATTCTTTGTTTCATAATAAGTAGTGAGGTTTTTGAAATCATAGACTTTCCAGAAAGTTGTTTAGAGTTAGATGGAAAACATTCTAGTTTGGTGGTTTTAGATGAGTGCCTTGCTATGGTTCGTTATCAAGCATGGATGAAAGAACCACACCTTATTGACATTTGGGTGATGAAGGAATATGGTGTGAAGGAATCTTGGATCAAACAATTTACAGTAGGGCCTATTCTTGTTATGTGCCCATTATCATCTTGGAAGAACTATACGCTTCTTATGGAAAGCAGCAATGGGCAATTAGTCTCTTACGCACTTGACACCAATATAGTTAAAAAATATGAAATTTACAGTGATCGTAGGCATTCACTGCTTGTCATAATATTCAAGGAGAGCTTAGTTTCAACAATAAGCACGTGAACATAATAATTAAGTAGAATTAGTCGTCAATGTTTTTATATTCCAGTGATGCCTCATTTGTTTATGCCGTCAAGAATAATCTATATTTACAATCATTAAGTTATTATACATTTATTCTTTTACTTATATTTTACAAAAAAAT